GCCGATGAGGCGGGGCCAAGCACATATTTTGTTTATTGATAATTAAAAGCGGCTGCTTTAATTTTCAATTATTTAAAAACTTACAAAATTGTCAGGCAGTTTCACATTTGAAATTTATGTTACGATGCGGCATAAAAATTTAGTACATGGTAATATTTTATTCTAATTTTATTGCGCGCCTATTTTATGATACGTTCAATTGTTTTGCATACAAAAATAATTTTGTTTTTATGCATTTTGTATACGATATACGAGTATAATGGGTATACGAAAACCTTTAGAATCCACCACCAACGCAGTTCAATTATCATCAACGAGCTGGAAATTTATGGCTTTTACATTTGTTGTTGTCCTCAATCGCAGCTCGAAGTAAATTGAAGTGCAGCCAAACAAATGAATATCATTTGTCCGTCCGGCTATATCGCATAGGCGTTCTCTGGACGTCTGCAGTTCGTTCTCTCATTGGCTTTAATTCTATTTTAAGGTCTTTTTAATTTGCATGAGCAATGAGCATGCTATCAAAATTGATTGAGACCCACACTCATGCATTTTGCGCATCACAACTCGCCTCAATATTTATTAATTTATTGCCCGGCCATAAAAATTTGATGGCTCTGTGTATGCTTGGCATATATTCGAGTGTTTCGTATACGTTTCGAAAGTGTTGGTTTACAAGTAAAGAGGAACTTGGACAGCCCGTTGTGTGTTTTACTATTTTGAGTGTATACAAATAATTTCCATTTGATTTTCTGCGTGTTTTTTTTTTTCTAACAAAGATTTTCATTTAGAGCGCATTATGAATGGCCCAAATACCATGAATGCCAATGATTGAAATTTGATGTTTATGGCTCCATTAAGTGGGCCAACTTTCTGAGGCGCTAACTGCAATCTAATTGGAGAACCCGGGTTTGATTGGATATTGGTAATTCAGTCGAAGAAAGTCAGATACATATAAGTATCTTGTATGCGTATGTTTCCACTTACCTCAATGTGGTTTTATGATTCATAAATAAAAATTTTATGATTTTAAATGTAATTTAAAATTAATTAAAGTAAAGTATGATATAACATAATGTTGAAGCAAGGGACTTATTCTTAGTCTTTATTCTTTAGTCTTTCTGAAAGTCAATTATAGTCTTGATGATGTGACATTTATTTAAAGAAAAACTTAAATTATATATATATGACAAGAAAAAATAAAAATAAATGTCTATATTTGAGACGTAAGGGAACCATTTTTGAAGATCTAAAAAGGTTTGGGTATTATATATTTATATTATATATTTATATTATCCCCATGTTCATTGCAAAAATGATATTATTTTTGAAGTTCTGTTGTTACAATAAACTCTTTTATTGAACTAATTATTGAACTAATGATGTTTCAGAGACAAAAAAAAATTATATGTATTTTATATGACAACGCGATCTCGAATTGTCTATATTTGAGACGTAAGAGAACCATTTTTGAAGATCTAAAAATGTTTGGGTATTATATATTTATATTATCCCCATGTTCATTGCAAAAATGATATTATTTTAAAAGTTTATTTTTTAGTGCATAAGCGACATATACAAAAAGTTTTGGATATCGACTTTGTGTGATAATTGAGCAGGAATATCATTTGTTACAATAAACTCTTTTATTGAATTTATAGCTGTTGTTTCACAGACAAAAAGGGTTCTGATTGTTGTACATTTTTATCTTCCACCCCCCAAAAAATGGGTCAAGCTATAGACATCGATTGCAGTGACGTTGGCTTATCTGCGACCCAAGTAAACAGAGTCTACATATAATAATGGGTTATATTAATAAACAAAATAAACAAACCAGTAATAGTTCAACTTTTTCGCCCCCCAAAATGTCAATTAAAAGCATTGACAGCCAGCCAAAAAGCTGAAAAGTTATGTCCCCTGCTGAGGTTAGAATATCAAAGAAACCCTTTATGCGTTAATATCGAGTTGACAGGTGAAAGCCATAAACTGTGCGGAGGGGGGCTCCTGGCAGAGGATTTTGCAGAGCAGGCAACATGATAAGGGTGGACAATATTTATGGGCACTTCCGCGGTCGCAAATGACTCACAAGCCCATCAACCGCAGCAGTAGCCAGCCAGAGTATCGGACACAAAGGAAATCTTAAACTGTTGAGCCGCCCGCCTACCTACCTACCTGCTGTAGACTGCCGTTTCTAAATTAACATTACAATTGTCGGTCGAAGTGGCTAAGCTGTAAATTAGAGGATCCCAAAAATGCGACAAGGCGGCTAACAAAATTAGCATATTTAGCCACTGTTTGTAAACGTACGAGCATGTATATATGTACATATGTATGTATGTATGTATGCGTAGATGCAAGATTCAAACTAAAATCTCAGACATGGGCTACATAGCACATAAATTTTCATGGGTACTTGGCTCGTTTCAGCGTTTGACTGTTTGTCCGTCCGTCCGTCCGTCCGTCCCTTCAGCCCTCTGTCCGTTTGTCCGTCCGACTGCCCACGCCAGTTTGGTGACTCTTGTTGCCAGTTGTGCGTGCTGTGGCATAAACAAACACAGCAATTCATAGAGCAAACGGATGTGTGCGGCTCAGAGGATCTCGTTCGATATATCGGCACATTTGCTTTCTTTGGCCGTTGCAATGGCTTTGTTTGGACCAGCTGTATTTTTTCACTGCTGCACATAAACACATACTCCTCATACATACATACATACATCCATACATCCATAAGTCAAGGTTGCTGTACATTTGTCTGTGTCTTCAGAGCAACTGTCTTTCAACGCCTGCAGTTGGTCGATCGACAATCCCATTGAAAGCGAGATGAAAAGAGAATTTTCAAAGCATTTGCCTTTGTCGCATGGTAGGGGACAAAGCTGGAAACATGTGCCGATATATACATATATACAGACAAACATACATACATAGTATGTTACATCAATATGTGCATTTGTACATAGTACTATATATCATTCGTTCTCTCAATAGAAATGACAAACGACTAAACCAAATCAGTTCGAGTATAGCCCAGTATTTCCTAGCAAATGTATTAAATGAAACCCTAAAGTTAAGGTCAAACAAACGGTAAATATTTTGCAGACAAATTTGTTTCACTTTATAAGAAAAGTAAGCCAATTTAAAAAAAGCAAACTTTCATTTTTTTAAATTAAATTATAATAATTAAATGTTTTTGCAATGCTTAGTTGCCTTTTTGTAAATAAATGTTATTACTTTTGAGCATAAAAATCAATAAAATATGCGCATCTAGTATAATAATGCTCCTTTATTAAAATCAATTAAGATATGCAATAAACTAAAATAGAATAATGATATACGAAATTCGAGTATGTACTAGATATTGTTTATAAATAGATTTAAAGAATGGTGACAAAACTAAAACGTTTAATTTTTATGATTTTATAAATTAACATTTTGAAAAATATAATAATTGGATTACAAATTATTTGTATGTCTGACCATAGCTAACATAATAAATGAGCTAATAAATCTAAACAATAAATAAAATTGAAATGATATTTACATTTTTTTGATACTAATGCTATAGCAAAGGAATAACATTTAAAAATATCAAAAAATTAATTTCAACAATTTATACGTGAATTTGTTGCTAGAATACCAGATATATTGATAACCTATGAAATAGTTACAGGGTTCTAATTTTTAATTCTTTTTGTTTTAGATTCTTTATTCTTTTAAGAAGTAACATTTAAAGGAAATAATCTGATTATATATAGAATACGAAATGGTATCTGAATACTAAATATATTAATAGACTAGAAATGGTAACAAGGTTCTAATTTTTAATTGCTTTAGTTTTAAAGAAATGTTATTTCTTTTAATTGAAGTAACATTTTATTTTTTATTTAATAAATCAACAAATAGTGCTGTCGATACATGTTCAAGAATATAATATTATAATATTTAAAGGAAACATTCTGATAATATATATATGTATAATACGACATTAATTGATAGATAAAATAGAAGCTATAATAAGAAGACTAAAATGTCGACCAGTCTTTCAATCTGACTGATCATTGCAATTTTGAATGTCCCGATCAGGCGATGGTATCGACAAATCGGAACGATCGTCTGTTATACCACGTGCCCTTAGCTGGACGCGACCGGAGCTAATGTCAATTTGTCAGGCTACCAAATCAGAACAACAAGTGCCTTTGTCCTCAGCACGCTCGCCGAGACGTCTGTTCGCAGCACTTCATCGAATGCAGTCGCTAGCTAACGATCCTAAAGATTCTATTTGTGTGTAATCGCTGTCCTCGTACTTAGTGTCTACGATGTGGATGTCGTTGCTGGTGTCTTTGTCTTTGTCGTCGCATGATATATGAGCGCCCTACCCTGTTGTTGCCACTGCAACCGCGCCCAAAACTCAGGCTAAGCCGCAGGCCCAAACCCAGACCGAGACCCAAGCCCAAGCCGATTCCGAAGCCGGTTCTATGGCGGTGGTTGTTGCTTCAAAACAAACAGCTTCGTGGGCTGCACATCGCGTCGGCGTCTTGCCCGATTCGTGCATACATATACATACATATATATGTACGAGTAGTATATGCACGAGTAGGTAGTTTTATATTTTCTCGTTTGTTGTTTCCACGCTCTTCGCGATGCGCGCGCTCGCATTTTGTGCTCGGCTCTCTGCTTCTGTTTCTCAATTTTTCAGTTTGTTTTGACTCGCTGCGCGGTTAACTTCACTTTTGCGGGCATGCGCGCGTTGATTTCGGAACTGGTAAACGGTCTTTTATAGCCAGCGATCCGCCGACTTAACAAATTTTATATCATTCAAATAACATAAATATCGCCTTTCATTGAATGTGCACTAAAATTGTGTTTTGAAAAAAATAAAGAAAATGAATGCCTATTCAAGCGTTTCTATAAAAATGTGCTTTGTGAAATACTGTGAAGAAATTTTAATCTGATTATACTGGAAAGTGCTATATATTTTTAATACTTATTAAGCTCAAAGTACATGCTATACTTTTAAATCTACTTGTGCTATCATATGAATGGATTACCATAGAAAATAAGCACAAGACGTGATTATCAAAAAGTAAGTTTTCAATTTAATTGCAATTATAATAATTACACAAACTATTAAAAATAGCTTAAGGCATGATGAGCCAATTTGAATAATTTTCCATTTTAATATATTTTTAATGCATTTTTTGTACACACATATCATTAGAATATGCTGACACATCGAGTCATCTAAATCAAAAAAAAAAAAAAAAAATCGCATATTATATATTGTTTTATAATTATTTCAAGTGTGTATTTCAAATATTGTGCATCCGCATAAAAAGGAATTTTATAGCTAAATATGAATGTGGGGGTTATCGCTTTAATTTGAATTCAGCCGACTACAATATTTCACTTCCTAATAAAATGTTGTTGTTTTCGATTGTATTGAATCGACTGTACTAGCTTTCTTTTTCATGTTTTAATATTAATGAAACGAGAAACATTTATTTAATAAGAGAAAGATTTAGTTTTATCAATTTATAAGAAGCATTTTATGTATTATCTTTAGTTCATAAGGAACATCGATGAAAATTGTACAATAAGGATATTTCGATAACTGCTCATCTAAACAAAATGTATAGACACAGGAATTTGTTCTAAATTGATCATAAGTAATTTTTAAATTCTTTTCGATTTCTATATAAGAAATTATCGATCGAAATCAATCAGGGAGGATGATTGAATAAGTCAGTACAAAAAAGGTATTGAAACGGGATAGGTTGTAGTTGCTTCATATACATTGATGATTATAAAATTCATTTTTATTGTGTATTAGATAATAGAAAATATCGATTAAAATCGATCAATGAGGATAATTCAATATAAGTAAGTACCACTATATCATTGTACAGTGTACACAGAAAAAACGTATAGAAATAGCAAAGGTTGTAATTATTCTAAACTGCACATTAGCCTTATTTATTTATAATTTTATGCTGTGTTTTTTTTATATATACAAAAATTATCCACTAATTTTGAATTACTTTCTTTTATTTGCAGCATGTTTAGTTTAAATTTTGACAAAATGCAGCGCCAGCTGTGGCTTCTTTCACTATTATGTCTAACTCTATTCCGGCCCGAAATGTCTCGTGCGTCGCTGCAGTTGAACTCAGAGCTGCTGGAGAATGATTCGCGTTATATTTCATTTCAAGGTATGTGTGTGTTTTGAATTATCAAAATAGAGAAATAACTATTGAATACAATTACAAAACTGTGCCAATCGAAAGGCAATCAATCAAGAGGCACTTAAGCGCAACACACTTAAAAGTTGAACACTAAGTAGGTTGATGTCTGTCAGAATTCTGAGTAGAGTTTGCACTTCTTACGCAATATATGGGCATGACAACAATCGAGCTATAAATAACACCCACACTCCTCTTCTCGGCATCTTAGCTTGTGAGAGAATCTGAGAAGCGGACACTTTTATGACGCCCCTAAATCTGCAGCTTTTAATCAGAAAACGGTTCGTGTTTTTTGTTTAAATATTTGCCAGTTCTCTCGTAGTATTCTCGTTTTCTTTAAATATATATTTTTTTGTATTCGCATGGAATGCATCTTGAAGTACGCACCCAAGAAGCGAACTCAGCAAAACTTTTGTTGACTGTGGTTTTAACATTTTATAGGTTTTTTTTTTTACGTTAAGTTAATATTAAATTTCTGTTGAAGCTTAACCTGCCGATTTTTGTTTGTTTATTTTAATGCGAGTGGGGGTTTTACTTCAAGATGGCATATTTATGAGGTAATACGTAATGATCTTGAGAAATTGTTGTGAAAGATACATTGACTGCAAGAAATATTTTGCCCTGAGAAAGCTCATCACAATTGTTGAATTTTGAAAGTGAGACTATTTTAGTAGGCAAGGTCTGGAAAAAACATACATAAGTGTGAACATGTTCTTTGAGTCTTCTGCTTTCAGATCATAACATTTTAATAGCTTAATCATTTAAATATTTATTTTTTCTTTTATAGACTTGATGTCAACAGCCAAACGATTTTACGATCCCGATACGACTTGGTACTCAGAACTGCTTTTCGACGTAGCTAGGAATCAAGTTATTGTCGGTGCAAGGTAAGATTAATTAAAAATATGGTTAAGTATTATTTCCTGCCAACTGACTCAGTTCGTTTATAATTCACCAACTTATCAATAAGTAGTCATATATTCTGTTAACTTTTATGTGAACTTAGTCATGAAAATTCGAATCCATGAAAAGGAAAGTAAGAGTCGGGCAACACCAGACCGAATGAATTCATGAAAGATGCTATCGATATCAATATATTCTCTTCTCATGAACAATTCAAATTCATGTAAATGTTTGCACGCTGAAATTTGTGCTTGAATTAAGGAAATTTTATATAGCGTTGATAAATAAATTCAGCATCGGTTTTGGGCAATTAATCATAAATTTCTACAGTCAGTTCATGGGGTTTCACACAAAAACTGTTGATTTTACGATATTTGGGTCAGCATTTCAATTTCTGATAAGAAATGACGGACAAAACACCCCAAGTACGAGTTTTTCTTTTTCTGGCTATCACTCGAAATCATACAAAATATGATTGCGTTCAAAACAAACAACCCTCAAAAAATAAAAGAACAAAGAATAAACGATCTGAAGAGATGCAACAGTATTACAAAATTAAGTTGATAATGTTTTGGCGCGTATATGGCGCAAGTAGTAGCACCAAAGTGTAGATTATGGAATCGTTTTCAAAAATCAAAAGTGCAACATAAATAAGCAACTTGTTTCAAAACATCAACCCGATGTGTACTTATAAGCAAGCAAGAGCAACAGCGACTTTATCTGCAGAACCTGTGCGTAAATAAAGATAGCTGGTCATGAGCGAGAAATAACAAGATAGACTGATATGCTTAAGTGTAGCCAACTGTGGATACTCTTGCCCTTTTTTGGGTTTCTACAATTACTTCCAGGTACGATAAGATCTCACAAGCAGACACATGTTTTAACATTACATTTTCATATATTTCGAGCCTAATCGACTATTTAAATAAATATTTAAAGCTACTTCCAGGTATTTTAACATACATTCAGATACTTAAGAGATTCTTACGAGAGATTGATATAAAAAAAGACCAACTTTTAAGGGAAAATATAAAATCGTAGATCCAGCTAGTTCGGGATCTGAACTGACAATTTTAATATTTTGAAAAATAAAAATTTGCTTATGAGGGAATAAAAAAGAAAGGCGGATAGTTTGAAAGCTTAACCAATCAATACAGAGTCCTTAATACACTCATATAGTACAGTGAAAACTCTCTTGGCCGGACACTCATGGTGGGCTATTTTTGTCTGCCCAAGGAGAATACTTAAGGGAATACTTAAAAGCTTTATACACCGATCGAATGTTTTAAAAAAAGTGTCCGGATAAAAGAAGTGTCCATTAAGGGAGTTTTCAGTGTACGCGTAGTTACAAAATTTTACAAGCATTTATAAAGGGTATTATGAAAAAGTGGCTAATATGGAAAATGAAAAGACGTTTGCACTATCATTACTTGGGTCTTTTAAGCACCATATATGTAGGTTGGAAAATTGTAATATAAAAAGATATAATTTGTATTATGGAATTTATATAGATTAGTCAAAGAAAATGATAGAACCTATGAGTAACGACTCTCCACGGGTACGATGCATTCATTTACTCAAAACAGATGTACCCTCTTGTCAACTGGGCTTAGGGTATTTAAAGCAACGCCAGTCTTCAGGGAAAAAGTAAAAAAAACGTAATAATAAAAACGTAACGAAATAAAATTACAGCCAACAAATGGGTGCCCAGCTCTCGGATACAAAGATACAGAGATACTTTGCCTATTTGTTAAGCAATTTAATGGTGGTGCCGGTATATACACACATGTATGTATGTGTGTGTGTGTGTGTGTGTGTTTATATACTTTAGTTTGCTTTTCATTTGCGCATAGAACTTGACTTCAAGTTATCGTTGCGTCTGCATGAAAAACTGACACCTACGAGCAGCCAGAGCCGATAAGAAACATACCTTCATATGTACATACATACAAACATATGTACATATGTGTATGGATGTGTATGTACGTAGTTGGTTTTGTTGATAAACTCACCTATAACGACGTTAACCCATTGGCGCATCATGTGCGTGCTGGGTCCGTTGACGTGCTCGTTTTTCATATGCGTCGTTTCGTTGTCTCCAATCGCCGTCACACTTTTAGTTTTATTTTTCTTGTCTCTCTGATTATTGCTTTATTCACTTTTCCATTTTTTTTTCACACCTAAGAACGTACAGTCTTTGAATTATGGTCTTCTTGTGGCAGTTAAGATAATGATAAAGAATGATGAGATATGTTTATACTCGTATATTAAGCCATTTGCACGAAGGGCAAGCAATCGCATACATAGCAAGTAAATAAATATAAAGATAGTATGTAGGTAGGTAGGCAGTGGCTAGGTAGGCGTGCTTTATGCCGCATATAAAAAGTAGTTTATATATGTTTTCTTATTTCTTTTAAATAATAATAATACCCGTAGTGCGTATACGCCTTGAAGTTTGTTTCGCCTACACAATAAGCTTTGATAAGTCGACGATAGAGTGTGTGGGTCTTCTGATTAATTAACCCACATACTGTTATTAAATATAATCTATCTATTAGTTTACTTGTACGGTATCGTTCGTCAATGCAACCAGTTTCGAACTGGACTGGTGTCTGACATTCTTGAAAACAGACTGCACTTCTGTTTGAAAAGGCATTCGAAGCAGCAATCTAATGCTAAGAAATGAGATTGTTAAGTACTAAATACTATGTATCGTATTACTTTTGTCTAAGTATAGATATTTATAGCTATTTTAAAATTTTACGCAGTTGTGAACTGATAACTCGTTTATTGACTTCAGAAGAAAGAGGGAAATTTTTAATAAATCTTCCTGCTAATATCTAAGTTTTTGTCTCAAATTTCTCACTTTTAAGCGCTTCACAATTTTTGTATCACTTTGAATTCCCACAAGTGTTATCCTTAACTGTGGGAAAGGGTTGAAAATAGTACTTGCACGAACTTCTAATTAGGGATAATTGTTTTTCCGGCAATACTGTGTCTTTTTTCATGGGAACCCAGTCGCAGTAATTATACTTATTCCGATTAGTTTTAACGCGTTTCCTTTTTTGTGGCGTTTGAAGACCCGCAACTGCTCTACAAGATCGGCGTTCGCTTTCAGGTTGGCCTCAAGGCGACCCTCACATGGCATCGTCAAACCACAAAACCCAAAACCCAAACCCCAATCACCAAACCCAAGCCTTCTAATCGCACACCGCAACTTTATTGCGGCTAGTACTCGTATGTGTGTGATTTTCCATTCGACGACTACGCTCGTAATATAATTTTTATGCTTTTGTGGCGTGTAATTGTAGATTTGCTGGCATGGTTGCATCGCCGTCGATTCGTCAACGCTCGTCTCCAACTTCAATTCCCAGCTACGACTAAAGCCATGGACAAGGCAATGCTCCTTGTCAGGCACACTTGACACGATTGCGGGCTCGGATTACGAATGCCGCGTACAATTTCCTTTCATATTGCAACGCTCCTCTGTCTCTGCTCAAGTATTTGGGTCCCCATAGCGTCAGACTTGTGAGTCCGTCTGTCCATCTGTCGGTCCACTGGTCCGTCGCGTAATTTTCTGTAATGAGCAAGCAATGAGCTCGAAATCCGATATGGACTAATGTGCACTTTTATTTTTGTTTTGTTTCCCTCTAAAGAGCAGCCACCTTATTTATTTATTTTTTTTTTTTTTTTGGCAGTTTAATATTTAAGCGCTGCTGTTGTGGTTGTGGCTCAAATGGTGCATGTAAATGACAAGTTGGGAAGCATTTGAAATGTTTAAACATATGGGCGGTTATACATATGTATAAATACGTAATTAAATATATAAACATGCACTTGTATAGGAGAAATTGAAACGGCTGCGACTTATATGCTCAAAAAACATTTTATGGTTCGATTTTGGCAACGAATTTATATTTGTATTTTGGGCGTTTCTTTTGTTAGTCAAGAGACTTTTTATACATTATATGAGGTTTTAAAAATAATACCTGCTTAATTTTGGAGAAAATAAAAACAAGCCTAAAAAGCTTACACTTTATTTTGCTTTTTTTTTAGTAGTGGACCGATCTAATGAGATTCCTTCCTTAAAAAAAATAAATTAAAAAATAAAAAACAAGCCTCAAACATTTATACTTACCTTTTTTTTTAGTACATAGTAGACCAAAGGATTTTCCTTCCTTTAAAAAAAAAAACAAAAAACAAGCCTATAAAATGAATACTTTATTTTACTTTTTTTTAGTAGTGGACCGAAGGATTTTCCTTTCTGTTTTGATGATTAAGGATTTTCCTTTCTTTTTTTAACATATGTACCCCATCAAGATGCTATCCGATTTGGTCGTAATTTTTTTCAATGTTATGGAACCTCAATTTATTTTCATCCATTATATGAAGTGAGAAATATTCAATCAGGCCACTTAAGTAATTCCCATGTGATTCAATTGAAGAGAGAAAACATAAAAGCAAGCCAAAAAGTTAACTAAACATCATGTAGTTTTTGAAATTGATCAATGAAAACAATTGACGCAATATAGCTAATATTAAATAGTTATAAAAGTTATTTTCAGTGTCAATATCAGCTAACCAATTTTTGTTTATTAATAATGGCTTTTTAGGACTTTGTTTCTTGCCTCACTCAGTGTGCAATTTTATTTGATGGTCGTTGTACTAAAAAGAACTTTTTTATTCACACATTTCCCCAAAAGGTTTTCATGGCCATTTCATTTGCATTATTCGTATCAGATTTAATTTGACAAAAAACGTCTTTCAAAATTAGAAAACAACATAAGTAATTATTTTGAAGCGAAATTTATGACAATACGCTTAAATTGCGTTTATTCGTTTTTAATTTAGCAGAAATATTGTCCTTTTCCACTTTGCGGGTTGAATTTTGCAATTTTTATTTAAAAGCGTACCTGAGCTTAGTTTCTCAGCCGAGATTGTGATGAATTGAATTAGAAGGCTCAATTAAAGTAACAAAAAGTGC